GAATATGAATCCCTGCAGTCACGAAAGCTTTAAATCAAAACAAAGATCCTCTATGACGCCATCTACGTTCATCACATTAATCGCGCAATGACATATTTTCTCCGCACGGTGTCAATATATATAAATTTCGTCACAGACACAAACAGCTACCGGATTATAAGGCGCGCCCCCAACTTTTTATTTACAAGACAAGGAGAATAAATGCGATTCATGATCCGGAGAATTATGCAAATGCATCGTCATAACAAAACGACGTAATTTAACCTCTAAAAGAACGACATTACGTGTGACGTCATCACGTTCTATATTAATGTCGACGCGCCTGGTTTCTTACGCAACTGACTTTACGCCATGACGCCTACTTGTATCGCTCGTGACGTCATCGCGCACTGGACCATCCAAGTGCCGCGTTTTGCGCGTGACGTCACCACGCGCGTGACGACGACGTCACCGCGTGAGAGTTGAGTCACACCCGTGGGTGCGCGTCCGCCGGGTGTTCTGTCATGGCCGCGATAAGTCGCATCGCTGTTCGCAGGTGGGAGCGCGGCACTTACACTGAATACACTCCCTTTCATTCACTCACTGTCATTCACTCTCATTCACCTCCTCCGTCGTTCACTCACACTCCCTTTCATTCACTCACTCTGTCATTCACTCTCATTCACCTCCTCCGTCGTTCACTCACACTCGCTTTCATTCACTCTGTCGTTCATTCACACTCCCTGTCATTCACTCTCATTCACCTCCATCGTTCACTCACACTCGCCTTCATTCACTCACTCTGTCATTCACTTTCATTCACTTCCTCCGTCGTTCACTCACACTCCCTTTCATTCACTCAGTCATTCACTCACACTCCCTGTCATTCACTCTCATTCACTTCCTCCGTCGTTCACTCACACTCGCTTTCATTCACTCTGTCATTCACTCACACGGCCTTTCATTCACTCACTGTCATTCACTCTCATTCACCTCCTCCGTCGTTCACTCACACTCGCTTTCATTCACTCTGTCATTCACTCACACGGCCTTTCATTCACTCACTCTTTCATTCACTCAATTCACTCCCTTCGTCATTCACTCACACTCGCTTTCATTCACTCGCTTTCATTCACTCACACTTGCTTTCATTCACTCTGTCATTCATTCACACTGCCTTTCATTCACTCACTGTCATTCACCTCCTCCGTCGTTCACTCACACTCGCTTTCATTTACTCTGTCATTCACTCACACTGCCTTTCATTCACTCTGTCATTCACTCACTCTGTCATTCACACTATTCACTCTCTCCGTCATTCACACTATTCACTCTCTCCATCATTCACTCACACTGCCTTTCATTCACTCACTCTGTCATTCACTCTCATTCACCTCCTCCGTCGTTCACTCACACTCGCTTTCATTCACTCTGTCATTCACTCACACGGCCTTTCATTCACTCACTCTGTCATTCACTCTCATTCACTTCCTCCGTCGTTCACTCACACTCGCTTTCATTCACTCTGTCATTCACTCACACTCCCTTTCATTCACTCACTCTGTCATTCACACTATTCACTCTCTCCGTCATTCACTCACTCCCTTTTATTCACTCACTGTCATTCACTCTCATTCACCTCCGTCGTTCACTCACACTCGCTTTCATTCACTCACACTCGCTTTCATTCACTCTGTCATTCACTCACACTGCCTTTCATTCACTCACTCTGTCACTCTCATTCACTCACACTCCCTTTCATTCACTCACTCTATCATTCACTCACACGGCCTTTCATTCACTCACTCTGTCATTCACTCTCATTCACCTCCTCCGTCGTTCACTCACACTCCCTTTCATTCACTCACTCTGTCATTCACTCTCATTCACCCCCTCCGTGTGAGTGAATGAGTTGCACGGTGTTGCTTTTATACTGATGACAAATGAGAGTTAAGCGCTCGGTTCACTGGCCATCACAGCACTGTACCCAATTAGGCGTAACGTAATAAAGTCCCCAGGGTCATGCAAAGTACCACCACCACCGCTAAACCAAAGGGGTCGTGATGTCGACCGAGCGACCCGATCCATGCGTTGCTCTTATTTTGAGACGTTTTTGGGCCGGGCCACGCGACCATCTGGCCAAACCTGCGGAGTTGTTCGAGCATTCACCCACCACCGCCCGACACGGCCAAACAAATTAAAAAGTCGCGTTGTACAAGCGGTGCAACACGCCAGTTAATTATTGATCGTTTCAGCTCACCTAGGGTTAGTTGGAGAACAATTGTCGCAGCTGTATTCGGCAATTGGATAAATGACTGGTTCACTTGAAATATTGTCAAGCATGTTGAGGACGCAGAGGCCAGGAAGTCATTTCTGGTCGTTGAGTTTTGGCTTTGTAAACGCAGAAGTCGTGCTTCTGACACGAGCTTTCTCTCCCCTCTCATGTCTGCTGTGTGTGTATTATGCATGTACTGTGTGTGTACTGTGTGTGTATTATGCATGTACTGTGTGTGTACTGTGTGTGTGTACTGCGTGTGTACTGTGTGTGTATTATGCATGTACTGTGTGTGTGTACTGTGTGTGTACTGTGTGTGTGTGTACTGTGTGTGTGTACTGTGTGTGTATTATGCATGTACTGTGTGTCTGTACTGTGTGTGTATTATGCATGTACTGTGTGTGTGTACTGTGTGTGTACTGTGTGTGTGTACTGTGTGTGCATTATGCTTGTACTGTGTGTGTACTGTGTGTGCATTTATGCATCTACTGTGTGTGTGTACTGTGTGTGTATTATGCATGTACTGTGTGTGTACTGTGTGTGTATTATGCATGTACTGTGTGTGTGTGTACTGTGTGTACTGTGTGTGTATTATGCATGTACTGTGTGTGTACTGTGTGTGTATTATGCATGTACTGTGTGTGTACTGTGTGTGTATTATGCATGTACTGTGTGTGTGTGTACTGTGTGTACTGTGTGTGTATTATGCATGTACTGTGTGTGTACTGTGTGTGTATTATGCATGTACTGTGTGTGTACTGTGTGTGTGTACTGTGTGTGTACTGTGTGTTTATTATGCATGTACTGTGTGTGTATTATGCATGTACTGTGTGTGTGTCCTGTGTGTGTGTACTGTGTGTGTACTGTGTGTGTATTATGCGTGTACTGTGTGTGTATTATGCGTGTACTGCGTGTGTATTATGCATGTACTGTGTGTATATTATGCATGTACTGTGTGTGTACTGTGTGTGTATTATGCATGTACTGTGTGTGTATTATGCATGTACCGTGTGTGTACTGCATGTATACTGTGTGTGTATTATGCATGTACTGTGTGTGTGTACTGTGTGGGTGTACTGTGTGTGTATTATGCATGTACTGTGTGTGTGTACTGTGTGTGTGTACTGTGTGTGTATTATGCATGTACTGTGTGTGTGTACTGTGTGTGTGTACTGTGTGTGTGTGTACTGTGTGTGCATTATGCTTGTACTGTGTGTCTACTGTGTGCGTACTGTGTGTGTATTATGCATGTACTGTGTGTGTACTGTGTGTGTATTTATGCATCTACTGTGTGTGTGTACTGTGTGTGTATTATGCATGTACTGTGTGTGTACTGTGTGTGTACTGTGTGTGTATTATGCATGTACTGTGTGTGTGTACTGTGTGTACTGTGTGTGTATTATGCATGTACTGTGTGTGTACTGTGTGTGTATTATGCATGTACTGTGTGTGTACTGTGTGTGTGTACTGTGTGTGTACTGTGTGTTTATTATGCATGTACTGTGTGTGTATTATGCATGTACTGTGTGTGTGTCCTGTGTGTGTGTGTACTGTGTGTGTACTGTGTGTGTATTATGCGTGTACTGTGTGTGTATTATGCGTGTACTGCGTGTGTATTATGCATGTACTGTGTGTATATTATGCATGTACTGTGTGTGTACTGTGTGTGTATTATGCATGTACTGTGTGTGTATTATGCATGTACCGTGTGTGTACTGCATGTATACTGTGTGTGTATTATGCATGTACCGTGTGTGTACTGTGTGTGTATTATGCATGTACTGTGTGTGTATTATGCATGTACCGTGTGTGTACTGTGTGTGTAGTGTGTGTATTATGCATGTACTGTGTGTGTATTATGCATGTACCGTGTGTGTACTGTGTGTGTACTGTGTGTGTATTATGCATGTACTGTGTGTGTGTACTGTGTGTGTATTATGCATGTACTGTGTGTGTATTATGTGTGTATTATGCATGTGCTGTGTGTGTACTGCGTGTGTATTGAGTGCGCTACTTCGTTTTGTGCATCCCCATTTTTGGGAACTAAACTCAACACAACTATTTTTATTTTAGAAACTAAACACATTTTTTTTATTTTACCAGGTAAGGCCCACTGAGCTATATAGCTCTTTTTCATAAGCAACCTGACCACAAGTGATAACTCAACGAAGTGGCTTATCTCGTTGTTGATTCTTAATGTGGAGGGAAAAACCGGAGGACCCCTGAGAAAAATCCACGCGACCACGGGGGAGCGAGAGAGAACATGCACACTGCACATATACAGCAGGCGTCAGGGTCAGGGTTCCAACCCATGTAATGATACATTAGTGGTAATCGGTTTCATTATTTATAAATGAACTAATTGCACGCGTAAGGATGAGAGAATTGCATTAATGCTGTGATCCCCATCCCCTTCTCTCTGTGTCTCCATGTAATTCTAGATGTAGTCTCCATGTAATTCTTCGCTTGCACCTTTCCACACTTCTGCTCAGGCTTTGTTTCATTCTCTTTCTCAGAGTTTAATGTTTCCGATTTTCACGCCGTATACACTGACACTCTTAACAGGGCATGTTACCCGTTATATACACATTCAAGGCCGTAATTATAATATATATTGGGGAGAACACATCCCCCCCAATATTCAAATATTCTCAAAATGTCCCCCCCCCCAAATATATTGCTATAAAAATATTAAAAAGTAATAATAATTGCTATGCTATGTAAATAAAATCAACAATTTGCTTAACCTTGGCCACAATATGTGGACTTGTCTTCATTTACATCAATGCATAGATTGCTGTTCATATGATTGTGGTTATGGTTGTATTTTATTAATCCCTAATCTTTACCATTACATATAATGAAACAAGAAATTGTAAAAAAAAGCAAAAACAGAGCAATGTAATACAATACACTAGTAGACATTATTGTAAAAAATAAATAAAAAGTACATCCCATGTGTTTTTTTTATATTTTAGGCAGGAAATTCGTTTTCCAATTTAGATATTTTTCTGGGTTGAGACCCCCAGACCCCCTGAAAGATTTGGTCCCCCCCCAAATCAGAGACTTCGTATCGTATTGGCAGGCATGGGCGGACCCCGTTGCTATGAGGGATCATCATCGTTGTATCCCTCGATAAACCAGGAGGTGAACCTAACCCATTGAGATAGAATCAGAATATTTATCCTGGAGTAATCTGATGAGCTATGAAGCTCTTTTTCAAAGGTATTCAGTGGTCAATGTGAGGCACGCGAAACCACCAATTTTGCAAGGGACCACCTGGGCTATGATGTATGTGTGTATGTTGAACTTCTTTTTCACCGTACATAGCCAACCGTACTAATTGGAGGTGTGGGGGAAGGACAACAAACTAAACACAAAAATCAGTTTTTAAGACATTGGTGTTCAGTCTAGATTTAAAAGTGCATAGCCCAATTGACTTCCTAATATCGAAGGAAGAGCGTTCCCAGACGGCCTCAGAAGCTCCAGTGGCTTCGTAATATCAGAGGAAAGAGCATTCCAGACGGCCGCAGAAGCGTGGTGATGGTCGTAGGACGATGGCCGGTGGTCGGGACTAATGATAGAGCGGCAGCTGAAGGGGTGGACGCATCCGAGAGCACGTTTAGCGCGGAGATGGAGCCATGAGACCAGGTTGTGTGCAGGCCGCAAAGTGGATCGCATTGCATCGCAGGACCGCGGGAGATGTTACGGCTCGTAGAGGCTTTTAAAGTTCAACGTACATACCCAGCGGTGGATACTCTACCACGTTCAGGTTAACGGGGCAAACAAAGCTACGAGGAAGACAACAACAACAGCAACTCGGCACGTTCGTCAACAATGCTGCGTGTGCGTCACCTGAAAAGGAAAATGATAAAGCAGTCGACGGTTCGGGCAATGGCCCTTCTTCATACCGCGAAAAATAAATTGATAGTTCAGTGGCCTTTACCTGGTGAGATAAAACACAGTTTAGTTTTATTTGTATATATTTTTAAAGTAATTTGTTTACCGTCCCTACACATTGTATTCCTATCGTTTTTTTGTAAAGAGCTTTATAGCTCATCGGATTCCTCTGGATTCAAGCTGAAAGCGAGAAGCAGAGTGTGTGCTGCGTCAACAAATGACGCTGGCACGCACCACGCACACTCGCGTGCCCTTTTGACCTTAGCGGGCGCTCCCTGACAAGCGAGCATGACCACATGGAGGCTTTGTGTCTCGTCCTGCAGGCTGGGATGGTACCTGCAGACGCAGCTCCCCGCGGCCGCCCGCAGGGAGTTTTCAAGCAGCCAGGCGGCAGGTCAGTACGGGTGAAGCATTCGATTTATTTGCACGGTGATATAACCTAAAATAAACCAGTGATGTACGTATGAATGTTTGACTTATTTTACACCGTACGTAGCCAACCGTGCTAATCAGAGGTGCCGGGGGAGATGGACAACAAACTAAACACACAAAGCGGTTCTAAAGAAATTCGTTTTCAATTTAGTGGAAAGTAGTGTAGTGTGTATTGTAGTGTATAGTGTGTGTGGTGTAGTGTATAGTAGTATAGAGTGTAGTATGTATGTTGAGCTTCTTCACACCATGCGTAGCCAACCCTGCTAATCTTTTGAGAGTTTTGCTAAGTGATGCGATGATCCCAATGTTGTTACGACTGTGCAAGGTCTAGTCATTTGACTTTCAGAAAAGTTGGTTAAAGGTACAGGGTCAGCCCCGCAATTTCTTGCTCACAGCACTGCTGTCAGAATGGCCTCCATTGTCGGCATGGTGTCTGGCACGTGCCTGTAATTCAGTGCTGTGGAGGCAGCAGCTAGGGTTGGTGGATCGCTCCACACAATCGTTGTGCAACTCCTTTCCCACGGGCGTCGAGGAAGAGCCACACTCTGGCTTGCCAGGAGAGGGCGGGACGGCAAAATGTGTATCCCACCTGTTCCATCTGTACGGGATAGCGTGAGTTTGTGTCCCGTTCACTGCTGAATCTCGGAACGCGTAAGCGGTTTAGCGTTAATTTTATTTAGAGGCGTAGCGCCGTTGTTTTTAAAGACATAACTCACCGCAGAGAACCGATAGCGACACGACCTCACTCTACGATAGCCGGCGACAAACTGTGCCACACGCCCCCATGCATGACCTTGTGGGAGCCTCGGTACCGATAAAGTTATTTTTATTTTAGTGTTTCTTCCAGTTTCCAATGACGTGTGTATCATCATAACAGTATCAGAAAATAGACTTATGACGTACACGTATGTTATTGGAATGGCAAAGGGTTAATATGTATAGAGGATCGCAGAGCCTGGGAAATTGTTGGTAGCGCCGGTTTAGCACGTGGCCACTGCCTTCCCCTGCTAGGTTGAAGCCTCTCAGTCGCTCTCTCCCAGAGCAAGCGCCATGCGGCACCGCCGCAGTGCTACATGTTGGAACTATAGAGTCCCTCTACGGGGGGACTTATAAAATAATCAAAATAACCAGTTGAGAAATTGGTCACGTGGGATTCCAATTCATTAACAGCATGAGCAACAATTATAGGTTGGTTTAAGTAATTGATTTGCAAATGATAGAATGAATATTTTAAAATTGACATCGTGTTCTCCTTTCAGAGAGAGGAAGACATTTAGTAATTTTCCTCGTCCTTGATGTGTGGCTTTTGAACCAGAGAAATCATAAATATCTCACCACGGTGGCTAGGAGATGTTAACTACCTCGCCTAATATACAGGAGATCATGGGTTCGATCCCGGCGCTGACGCCTCTATATTCGGAATTTGAATGTTTTCCCTGTTGTCATGTGGATTTTTCTCCAGGTTCCTCTGGTTCTCTTCCATATTTAGAATCGGCATGTTTTAAGGGTATTTGGCTGCTATAAATGTCCAAGTGATAAGCCACTTCCTTGGGCTATCATTTGTGATAGCAAGGTCGCTTCTGAAAAAGAGCGGAATAGCTCAGTAGGCCCTTATCTGGTAAAATCAAAAATAGTTTTTAGCAACAATATATTTTTTATTCACTCGGTGATTAAAAAAAACCTCAAGGATTCACCAAACCCTGAGCAATGAAATCTCCTTTGACGTCCTTGTTCAATTAAACTTGTCTGCCTCTGAGACAGCTGAAGTGGCAGGTAAAGGCCATACGTACAACCCGAGAGCATGCTCTGCCAGGATAGACGGCGGGAGACCGTGTTGGTGGTGATACACAAAGTGTAAACAATCTGGCAAACAAGTCCATCATTCATTCAACCTTTATTTTACGTGCCAATAGCACCCTCAATAAAGTCGGCATCAGTGCACATTACTGTTGATGGGGAACGGTACAGGGGGCATGCAGCAACAGCAACGAGAAGGGAAATCTGTCATGACCTCAGCGGCTAACACCGACTGCAACCACGCGCAAAATCATGTGCAACCGTGTGCAACGCATAGCGCGAGGGTAAGTAGTAAATATAAATAAATAAAATTACAAGTAAAGAGACAGTTTTATGTTGTATTTTATAGCAAGGCGAGTCTGAGTCGGCGCGTCTTGCACACACCGCGGAATTGAGAGGCACTCGGCACGTTTCGGATGTCCATCAAGAGAGCATAGCGCTGAAGAATATTGGAAAGAGCGAGCAATGTTGTACCCGTGGCATACACCACGGGTAGGGGAGTGGGGTCAAGGATGGAGGGATTCTCTTTCAGCTCAGTGACTTTGGTTTAACAGGCAAATGAATACAACCAGGGGGCGTGACTTTCAAACTAACACATTCACGTTTTCAATGGCACCAGAGTGTGGCACGTTAACAGGTTGTATGTATGTTGAATTTGCTTTGCTCCGTACGTAGCCAACCGTGCTAATTGGAAGTGTGGATATTCGCATTATGTTGTTGATATACAACATTATTAATACATTTATTATATTAATAGCATGGTTGCCAAAGGTGTGCTTCAGTCACTCCATACAGAAGAAACATACTTGATTGTAATAGAATATGAAGCATAATACGCGACCATTTAAACATTAACCATTTTTATTTTTAGTGTCCACGTTGCTGAAGCAAGATTAATGAAACGTATTCCTCTATCCTGACATTGCATTGAAATACTCATTCTCTCCTCACCCCCGTTTGTGTAGGTACTGGCATGATAATGACTGAAGGTATGTAATATGTTTGTTTGTAATCTTGACCTGTGTTCCAGTTTGTTTGAACGTACAGTCCCTGAGGGACGGAAGTAAAGATTGTATGTCATCCGAGCCAACCGCAACCACCCCATAGTGCCAATTCGTTCACGATAACGATTTTGACTTTGATGTGCTATAAAGAAGGGCTGTTTCCCAAAACGTTGGTAAAAATATATATTTTTCCTTTAATTGACGAGCGCGGTGAGTTACGTTGGTTGTGCTTTGTGCACCGAATGCAGCAACAGCAGCAGCTTCATAAAACAAATTGATGTTGATGGAGCCACGCTCTTTTACACCAGGGCGTCTCCCACATCTCATCGCTACTCGCTTGGAGCGGGCACCCCCAGTGGCAGCTGTCCTTGTGCAGCACAAGGAGACAGCACCGGGCATGCTAGCGGGCATGAGCCTACCAGTAGGGGGTGATAATTGCTGCAATGTTTGATCCCAGTTGATTAATTGAGTAATTGGGATCACACGTGGACGTATTGGCGGTACGTCAGTGCAGCATTACAACACGCCGGCCCTTGCAAAACAGCGTGACGATGTCGCTGTTGCCCTTCGGTGAGCTGCAGACTCTTCATGAGAAGTTACCTTCGGTTCAGCAGCTGCTTTCCCATTGGAACGTGTGGTGACAAGAGTCGTAATCTTTTGATGCCACAGTCCACCAACAAATTATTCCGGAAATGAATCGAGGAATTGTCCTACCAAGTCTCGGGTACGAGAAGTCAAATCTGCTTTTGGAACATGGAGCAGCCAATTGTCATCAGGCTGGGTGCTGCTCTACGGCAACAGACTGTGAAGCTTCGTGTTCAGCTACTCGTGACTTTCGTCTTCCGACCGCTTCGACATCTCGAGAGCTGATTTTGACGCACACCACCCCGCAAGATTTTCTGACTTGGGTTGCGAATCGCAGGAAAATAAATTATTATTGTGAATTTTCTTTTTTTTTATTCCGCCTACCGGTGTACCGCGAATACGTTCATTTATTCACCCAACAAAGCCAACTTTCATCACGAAGTGTCGTGGAGTTCATCTGGACTACGTGCGGTGAACTGTGTGACTACGAAGCGTGCCGAAGGCTTGCTGACAAAGGTCGTATCAGAGCCACGTGTGTTATTCTAGCTACGATGGTGGGATGCCCCATACACAATGTCACGTGTTGTTTTAAACTTCTAAAAATATGGTGACCCATGGGAACACAGTCACTGTTTTTTTCTCAGCCGTCGGGCTGCTAATTAAACTCACGCGTGTTCCAACTAACTCTCAAGCTGTGCTGCTCACGGCGCTCTTAGCACGTAGAGTCCATAGTCAATCTTCGGATTTGGCCTGATAACTTACAGTTGCCTTAAATGGCCCTCGTTCAAATGACATTGGCTTCCCAATCGTAAGAGAGTGTGTACGATTAAATTTCGATTTAAAGCTTTCGTGACTGCAATGATTCATCTTCTTTGGTTCTTTCGGTAAAGTCACGTAGAATGAGAATAAAATAATAAATTGATAAAATAAAATAACACAATAATATTCTCACGACGTTTCGGCCACAACACAAGCGGCCTTCATCAGGTGGCTCTCTCACTCCAGCGCTGTCCTACCAGACAGTCTCGCTCCCTTCACCTGATGAAGGCCGCTTGTGTTGTGGCCGAAACGTCGTGAGAATATTATTGTGTTATTTTATTTTATCAATTTATTATTTTATTCTCATTCTACGAGTGTGTACGATTGCCAACGTGTGGTTCATCACGTACCAGCTTGTTCAGCGTGGCAGAGAAAATTAGTAAGTGGAACCATTCGAGGCGGTGTTTGGAAATAACCCCAATTGCGGTGAGCGTAACGCGTGCCTCCAACTGGCAGATAGAAGCCGTTGCCGCGTGTCCATAGCACGACCAGTCACACTCTTCAGGCAGCGATTATAATAATAATGTCAACTTGTAACAGCAACAATAATAACGCCGACTTGTAACGCCGCTCCACTACCCCACAGTGTTCACTCCTCGCTTGCGTGGAGAGAAGATGACAAGCCACAGACGAGCGGCAAGGCAGCAGCAGCAGCCACGCGATGAGCTGGCGCTAAAAAAACTATTGCCCAAGCTTTGCCGGTCCTCTATATATAAAGTAGTTTTTGGCCAATTTGGTAATGGCCCACCGCATGGCCGCTTGCTTGTGGTTCCTTGTCGCGCCTCTGAGTCGTCCTCTCTCTGTGACCCAGAGCGAGCGAATGCGGTGCGGCGGCGGCGGCGGCGGTGGTGGTGGTGGCGCACCGTTACAAGTTGACGTTACTGTCCGTTTACAGTCATACGAAACAATTGGCAAAATTAACAAAATAATTATTTTAGTCTTGATTTGAAGCTTTCGTGACTGCAGTAATCCATACTCTTTGGTTATTTCGGTAAAGTCACGGAGGTATAAAATAAATAAAAAAATATATCGCGACGTTTCGATCACAACACACTGCTGGATTATTTTTTCCGCCTGAGGATGACCGCTTGTGTTGCGATTATTTTATATTTATTTTATACCTACGTGACTTTACCGAAAGAACCAAAGAGTAATTATTTTAGATTATTTTAATAATGTGTCATTTGCGATCGTTTGATAAGTGTTTGCCAAATCTTTTTTTCACAGTACGGCAAAAGCTGCAAGAAATCATCGGTGTGTCCGACTTGTGGAGGTAAAGATCATCATTGTCATCCTCAGCAGCTATGATAAATCCACTGCTGGATGAAGGCCGCCCCAAGCTTTCGCCATCCCTCACAGACTCACCTGCCAACAATCCACGTGGCTTCTGGACAGCCGCTAATCTCATCGCCCTATCTCTGCATTGGACGTTCTCTCCGGCACGTTCCGCTCTTTGGCTGCCACTTCGTAGTTTCAGCGTGGCTACGTGGCCCGGCCAGTAGCTGCTTGTAGCGGGCGGTCACGGTTCCAATCCAACGGCCACCCTGATTATTACCGCAGGAGTAATAATAAACATTGTAATACAGCAAACCCTTCCCTCTCACAGGTTTAGCTCTCGCGCCTAATTTACCGAGGTGCATTTCAACGATCGCGCCCCTGTGGTTCGACCATTCGCGGTTGCCTGTGAGATCTCTGCACACATTGTAACTGTACTGCTCATGACGATGCTGCCGTGTATGAACACACGCACCATCATGTCTCCATGTGCCACCTTGTCTCGCAAGCGGCCCATCGCAGGTCCTAGGGCACACGCCCTTCCCAGCCTCCACTGAATAGCCAGTGAGGTTCAGGCGCACGATTCTTCGTCCTGTAGTATACAGTACTTTTCGAGGATACGTGTACGGTATTGTACACGACATTCCTTTTTTTAAATTCCATATATTTACCGTACAAGTTATATTTAACGCTAGAAAATGTTAATCATTTGACATTCAACATATACTTCCTGTTTAACGTGTTGGGCTGATGTAGGGTAACATAAAGCAAAAGGAGGGATGGGTGTCATACCACGAACCTCGAACCAAACCCGAGTTTTCTCATTTGCTTTTGAGTTTACGGATCGCGGATTTGCCGTTTGCGGCGATTTTCAAGAACGTAGCCCCCACCGCGATTGGCAATGGTTTGCTGTACTACGCACATTCCGCTTCAGTCAGTGAGTGTACATAATTGTATGTTGAACTTCTTTCGTACTGTATGTAGCCAACTGTGCTAATCGGAGGTACGGGGGAAGGACAACAAACTAAACACAAAAAGCGGTTCTAAATAAATGGAAGTTGAAGACCCCCTGACGTCAATCGCAAGACTCGGCCATCGTGTACCAGCGTCACGTAGTAGGCTTTCGCGACCAATGTTCATAATCAAGGTTTTTTGTGTTCGATCGCGTCAATTTAAATGTGTCGTTAAACCCGCCACCACCCGACACCGCAAACTGGTAAGGTTTGTCACGTAAACAAAACGTGCCAATTAGTTACTACTTCAGCGCACCGGTATGTTGGAGAGTAAACCCACAACATTTGCAATTCGAATACGATTTTTCGCTGGTGATTACAACTAGCGTCATCAGGCAATTAGCCAGACTCGTGTCCACATTTGTCAAATTCGAAAATTCCACCACACATGTTGGGATCTCACACATACACAGTGGCAACAATCTTCACCCCCTACTGACAGATCGATGCCCCGGGTCACTCTTACAAATGAGACTCATCCTGGTCTTTTCTGCGTTCAGTAGGTGATGGAGGATCCAGTAATCAGGCGCCTCGCTTGTGGAACGTCTTGCCCTGGTCCGTTAGAGACACTTTGTCAGTCGGGGCTCTTATGAAAACACATTTATTTTTTTCTTGCGTATCCCCATCTGTGGAGGGTTGTTTTCCCTCTTCATTTTAACGTTGAGGGTTTTTTATTGGGATTGCGTTGTAAAGCGTTGCGAGGCCTTGTGTGAAGTGTGCCACATACAACTGAGTTTTACTTACTATTCTCACCTGGCTACACAAAATCAACTTGACCTCTTGACCCGCGACGTCTCCTGGCCAAGCCAACCCATGTGCTCTTGATCCGCGTGCTTCCCTCTGCGCGCACATCGGCGCAAACCCCAAGTACGCTTCACCCCGTGCTGCTTTGCGCGCTCTCGACCGTGCAAAGTGAGCATCATGCATTCCTCCCCACTTGTGAACGTTCGCATTTTTGTTTGTGCCCGGGAATAGGTGTGTGCATAACTCGGTTTGGTGGCAGGGCACCCATTCACTTGGGTTGGTTACCTAAGCCTTGCCAGACGGATACGCTTCGTGTTACTGTGGTGTCATGACATCTCTTCTTGTTATGTCATTCCTCTCTCCACAAGTAGGAAGCAATAATAATATTTAGTTTTATATATATACAGCGTTGTCGTTCGTGCAGATTGAAAATCTCACAATCGCTGAGGAACCGCAGCTGCAAGGCAGCAGCCAGGCGATGAGCCGACACTACCAGCAATTGCCTAAGCCTTGCGGTCCTCTCTACGTTACGATGTTTCGATCCAACAGATGAGTTTCTACGTGTGAGAGGAAACTGGGCCACTCGAAGAGGGGGCAATACTGTATCCCCTACAGAAGGGACGCATGACATTATTGGGCACGTTGCTCTAGCCACCTTTGCCTGACGAGGCAGTAAACGGCTCCCCCTCGACGCCCACGGAAAGGGATTTTCACATCGTTTTTACCGTGATCCACCAGACCCTTGTTACGGTGCGCCGCCACCCCCGCCGCCGCACTGCATTCGCTCGCTCTGGCACACAGAGAGAGAACAACTCGGAGCCATTACCAAATTGGCCAAAGACTACTTTGTATATAGAGGACCGGCACAGTGCTAGATTACGGGGGAGCACCACCACACACTCGCGCATAGACCCATAGACTCGCACAGTCAGAATCGGATTGGCAAGCCTCTCGGACATGACCGTGTATGGCCCTAGCTGAACAGTTTACCCAGGTGCTTTGTATTCATTCCAGTGGCACTACAGGCTACTGGAATTGGGGGTGGGGGAGGTTCAGTTACACCGCATCCGGTGTGACCAGGGTAGGGTGTATGCTGCTTTCAAATATCGAGGGGGCATCATACTACGATGTGATAGCCCACTGTGTGAATGCGGGGAGCAGGAGACCCTGGTGCACATTGTGTCTGGCGGTGAAGTCCGTCAGGGTGTGCTGGGCGGGCTGGTTGTTGCCCTGCACGTGCTGGAGGAGGAGGCTGTCATGTAGCTCTGTGGCTATGTGGGCTGACGTCCACTTACAATGTAACATCGACAAACATACTATTTATTTAATCACTATTTTTCTTGTGTATCTGGTGCTCAAACCGCACGACAGTCACGCGTAAAAGCAGTCGTTGAACATATAATAAAGTGAACCGCTACTGCTGGGCTGTGCGGGTGCAGTGACCACGGCAAGGTGGCGATGGAGCGCAAGGCCCAGAGCGAGCTGCTGCCCACCAGCCAGGACGAGCTGGAGCCCCGCAGCATGAAGGATAGCTACCAGGAGGTGCTGCTGCCCCTGGGCAGCGAGATACGCCTCCACGAGAAGTACCTCAACTTCCACAAGGGGGTCCGGTACGCACGGTGCATCTACAAGGCCCCCCTTGCCGATCAGCTGCTGGGCCAGGGCTTCCCCAAGCCCGTGGTGTGGGTCCCCGGGGGGGGGGGGGGGTGGGGGCGGGTTGTTATTTTGTTTTGACCTACTTCACCACGCCGGTCAGTCCAGGTCGGTGAGGTTCATTCCAGTTTCTTTCCCTCCGCAATCTGTGGGCTGGCAGTGAGATAGGCTCTCCTACACCGCGAGTAACAAAAGTGTTGACACATTCGTCAATAACACTGGCCTAAAAATATAAAACCTATAACAGGTGACGTTACGGGCAATGGCCCTTCTCCGTAGCACGGAGCCCCATACCTCAGGGAAGATGTGATGCCATGATGGCAAGATGTTAACTGCCTCGCCTGGTACACGGCAGGTCGCAGGTTCGATTTCGGACCCTGACGATGCCTGTTGTATATTTGGAGGCTGTGTGTTCTCTCTCCATCGTGGTGGTCGCGTGGATTGTTCTCCAGGTCCTCCGAGTTTGCCGATAATCGACACTCGTTGAGATTATTTGGCTGCTGCTGTAAATTCCCACGTAATGATATCAGCCACTGCGACGAACTATTACGTATGGCCAGGTCGCCTCTGAAAAAGAGCTGAAAGCTCCGTTGGTTTCACCTGGGAAACTATAAACTGTTTCTTAGCGAGAGGAAGTTGTAAATTCTCATCAATATGACACTAATGTGTGTGAGTGGCGTCTTATAAGAGCTGAACCCACCGATGAACACGTTTCTAGATGCGAGTGATGCAGGGTGGGCTTCAGAGTGTGTTCAACAGCAGCGGCAAAACTCTGGAGGAGGAATCATCGCCAGCTTTTATTGCGTGTCCCAGCGTGTGTTCTGCGCATAGCTTAAAACGTGAATGTCAGTAACGTGTGCACGCTTAACACCTGACTATATACAGTACTGGAGAACCCGTTACATGTTGTAACATCCTTGCATTACATCAACAGTGAGTAGGAAACAAACTAAACTATTTTTCATCACGTACGGCCCACTGAGCTGTATAGCTCTTTTTCAGAAGCGACCTGGCCACAAATGATAGCTACACGAAGTGGCTTATGTGGACATTTATAGCAGCCAAACACTCTAGATGAATGTTTCTAAATGTGGAGCGAAAAACCGGAAGACCCGGAGATAAAAATCCACGATACGACATTGGAGAACACGCCGACTCCATATATACAGGTATCAGGGTCGGGATGGAACTCACAACCTCCTGCAAACCAGGCGGGCGAGTTAACATCTCGCGACCGCAGCTGAATACTCTGACTTCAAGTATTTGGTGAACATTAATGTATAGAAAAGGCAGTGTTTAACCAACGTTGTTTTTTGTCATTCTACTGCAATACAGGTTTGGAAGGATTCTTGAAGATTTGGACACATTTTCAGGTAATGACAATTTAGTTATAAAAATGTAGCGGCCAACGCCGTTGGTGCCACCACTCCGTGCCCACAGCTTCCCTCCTCCTGCCAGATTCCCTCCCCTCGCCCCCCTTCACTGCGTCCCGTTCCTGCCCTACCCTTGCGTGATCCCTAAGTACCCCTCTATCGCTGTTATTCATTTCTCAACCCTTGCACGCCCCTGCCATGTAAATCATTCTATTCTGTCACTGTTTTTTTGACTATATTAAGCACCTTGAATGTTGGCTATTGGATCATAATACTAGCTAATAGATCATATTGTTGGCCATTGGATCATAATACTGGCTATTGGATCATAGTATTCGCTCATAGAAATGGATCTTAGTTCGACACAAAACCATATAATACACAACACGTCGCGATCATCAGGGTCATTGTAGATTATATAAATAACAGCAAATAAGCAGATGGCTCACCTCCTTCATATGTCTTCTGTCTTGTCTTCTGTCTTGTTCATGTTATGGGCTTATCCTACTTGTGCGTGTGTGTGGTTTACTCAGCGTCTCCACGGAGTGATGCTCTCAGCTGATCTTCCTCGGGCTGATGTTGGATGGGTTGGCCACTATTTTTTGCGTGTATAAATATTTTTGTATTCGACATCCTCACATCATACATTGATGTCTGTCTGCATGTCTGTTGAACTTCGTTCGCACCGTACGTTGCTAACCATGCAGTTCTAAAGAAATGAGTTTTCAATCTAGACGGGTACAGGTGAACATTCTGCCGTTCCGGGCGGTAGTTCCAGGGACATCGGCGGTTTCAAGCCGCGGTCCCCCACACCGGGCTCCTCGGAGCAGCGGGGAGGGGGGAAGGGGGATGAGGTTGGCCGGTCATTGCCGTTCTGAGTTCAGGGGTAGAAAACTGGTCTAAGGTTTATGCGTTTGACCCCTTTAATGTTTCCTAACCCATTGAACGTCGCGTAACGTTTTTGGGTCGTTTGCTGGGTTGCGTCCATTAGGTAATGTCCAGCAGGTGACGTTACTCCGGGTGCTGTAACGACCGTCGTGACCTCTGTTGCAGTGCTCATCAGCTACACGCACAACAAGAACCCAAAGTCCATTACGTCGCCTCTCTCCATCGTCACTGCCATGGTGGACAAGATACACCTGGGTACATTGCGAACGTGATATTCAAAATGTAAAAGAAAGTCATAACGACAGTGCATTTTATTGTCTCTAGGCCGTACAGCTTCGGGATGATTTGCGTGGAGGGTTCTGCATTGGCGTGTATATTTGTCCTTTTCAGTCGGTGGTTTTGAATGCGGGAGAAAAACACCCGAGTATCCAGAGAAAACACAGTCATGACAGAGTACAGCACTCAGAAGTGCCACTCGGGCAGGTTCATGAACCCAGGTCCTGTATTGTCATCTCTCTCATTCTATCTCCCTCAGTCTCTCCCCCTCCTAGGCTCCCTCTCAGTCTCTCTCCCTCTCAGTCTCTCTCCCTTTCAGTCTCTCTCCCTCTTGATTAACGTAGACTTTTGATGGCTTGCAATAGGTACCTATTTGGTGTTTCAAAATCTTCACACCTGTTTTATTGCCAGAAGGGTATTCTTATTCTTTCACTTGTACACAGTTAGACAGAGTGTGGGGATTACTGTACGGACACGTACAGCGTGCTGCAGTCAAGGCGTTCGTTGGCTGCAGGCAGGCGCCAGGGCTCTGCGTCGATGTCTCTGTGCGTTGTGCCTGGCGCCGTGCCGTTGCGTGCGTGTGTCTGTTGATTTGGGGTTGACGCGGCGTTGCGGCCGTCTCGTGGGACAGACCCGAGGACTCGAGTGATCCGACCGGACAGCGACATCAAGTTCTGTGGCCACGTGTCCTGGGCTGGCTCGTCTTCCATGGAGGTCAAGATGCAGATGATGCAGGTAATCTTCGCAACAAGCCAGGGTCGGATGCACACAATAGCATCAGCAAAGATTCAATGACGTCTCATTTTACGTACACTGCAATAGATGGCATAGAAAAATAAAACCCCCACCCGTTGTGCTACGATGTGCACGCTGCATATTCACAATTGCGATTCGCTGCATATTCAACCCCGTGGATTGAATACACTGCATTCTCCATGAGAGCTCATAGTGAGCCAGGCGTGAAGGCAGAGTGTGGATTATCCACATGGTAGAGCCATGGACTCTCCAGTGTGCGAGCGCACATCTGTGTATACGTGTGTAGAGTGAAATACGCGGTGCGCACAGTTAACCAAGGGCAACTGAGGGCAAACAGGGTGCGCGTGTGCAACATGGGGGTTGCACGGACAAACCGCCAGTTGTTAAGGGGCGAAGCAGCTGCAAACGGGGTCGACCAGTTGTGCACATTGAGACCGGAGGTGTTGCCAGGGTGACGGGAGATAAGGGTTGATTGATGGGCCAACAGGCGCCGGCCTGGCGAGAGCTTAAAGAGACGCACGAGAGGTCTCGGATAATTAGCAGAGGGATATAAGGGTGCGTGTGGGAGCGGAGGGGGAGTTGTTGTTGCCGGGGACGAAGAGTGAAGACATCTCGCCGCTGACGCTCCAGCCGTCAACGGGACCTCAACCCTCACGCCGCCGCCGGGCGGGTGTTGGCTGATCCCCCCGCCCGGGGCAGACGAGTGAGCGGGTCCGAGGGACCGTAGGTGAGGGCAGCGGTGGAGATGCAGAGTTGCTGTGTGCGAAGACGCTGTGTGCGAAGACGCTTTGTGCGGAGTCGCTGAGAGCAGAGCTACTGAGTGCAGGATAAGTGAGGTGGAAGGTCGATAAGAGTGGGGAGAAGTTAAACATAAGTGACCGTATAGATAGTTATAGGAGTGCCTACAACTGGTGCAAGAATAGGTGAATAAAGTTTAAGCAGGTGACTTGTTATAACGAGTCGGTGCGAGTAGTTTACATTCTGGAGATGCTCGTGAATAGCAGATTTCGCTGATAATGATATTGGCCTACGAAAATCTATGTTTTATGAATTACTGTCTGAGAAGCTCATCTCTTTATCACATTCTCTCTCATCACTTCATCTCATCTTTCTCTCTCTCTATGCAGTAGTCATTTCGAGTTCCAAATGCGATTTGCGGATAGCCAACATCACGGATAGGAAGTTCGTGAATAACGAGGGAATACTGTATATATTAAGGTTCTTATTAAGATCTTAATGCGGGTTAGAGTTTTGGTATGTATTAGGTTCAGAGTTAGGGGTTAGCGTCAGGATATATATTGGGGCACGCGTTTTGCATATTTGTTTGCATGTTTTACCACAATTATGTGTGTCTATTTGGCGTTTGATCAATTTAACACCTCCTATATTATTACCGTCGTTATTATCTTAGCATGTGGGTATGCTTTGGCGATCGTGTGCACCGCTGTACGTGTGTACCATCCGTGCGGTGCCGACTTGCCGTGCTTGCGCCCTTGTCGTCTCCCCCAGGTCCGCGACGAGGGTTGGAGTCCCGTCCTCGACGCTACGTTCGTATTGGTCGCACGAAACCCTGCGACCAACAAGTGAGTCTTTCCACCCCCCCCGTTCATTTACAATCAAAGTCCACTGCCGGGCGGCGGCGGTGGCTACGCACGTGGCAGTCCGTGGAGGCAGCAGCCGCAGTCAGCGTTGGTGGATCGGTGCACACATGATAAAATGTTTCCAGAATGCAGTGCAGCAATTAGTGTACTGATTTCTTCTGCCTCTTTCTGTATGGGATAGCGCCGAATGAGTGCATAAGCACAGATCCTCGGCAATAGCCGGCACGCGGCGCAGCGTTTGTGTGCGTTCGTGTGCGTGTTTGTGCACGTTTTTGTGGGTGTTTGTGTGACGCGTCGCTTCTCCGCCTTGTGACGTTCCAGACGAGCGTTCGTGCACCCGCTCAAGCCCGAGGGGCCCGAGGAGATGGCGCTGTTCCAGAAGGGGGAGAGTGAGTGTCACGGGGGGAGAGTGAGTGTCACGGGGTGGGGGGGGGGGGGTCCCCCAGTCGTGAGTGAACCAACCCCACTCTCCAGTGCGGTGTCTACAGTGGCCATGTCCCCAGTAGTCAGTGCGCTGCGCTACAAACCCAGAGACCCGAGTTCTATTCCCGCTCATAGCCAACACCGGTGACGATTATCTGAACCGGTCCTGGCCTCCCCTAGCTCGACTCAGCCTCAAATGAGTACCTGGTGCGGTGTGTAAACATCGCCACTTGGGGAGAGGCAGCCGGGCGTGGTGCTGGCCACCCACCCCCTCCTGTACCGTGCCGGGCTTCATAGATGCTCGCGAACAGCACTTGCCCCAACAGTCTGCTAAGGCAATACGGAGGACCTTTGGCTGTAGTTCCCGCATCTCCGATTAGTGAGTGCAGTTCAGCCTAAATACACACGGGTTGGGTGAAGCATGCGGTGGTGGTAATCGGTGACGAGGTAATTTATTTGTTACTGTAACCCTCCACCACCCGACGGTGGTGGTGGTGGTGTTCGCCGCTGTGACGCTCGCGTGGACGTCGGCCGCTCCGTGACTCTGGGCAGTAAACAAGCTGCGCCGGGTGAATACGAGCAACGCGTCGCTGCTGAAGATGGCACCGACCAGCGAGGAGCGCGAGATCGTCCATAAGATCTTCCTGGGCACCCTCGACACCCGGTACGCGCACACATCCCGCACCTCCGATTAGCGCGGTTGGCTACGTACGGTGCAGAAGAAGTTCAACGTACACACATACCGGACATACGTACGTACACACAAACACAAAGATCCCCCCCCGCCGCCACCCGACGTGCCTCCCATGTAGCCTTGAACACGCTGTCGGGGCAAGTGCTGTTCGCGAGGATCTTTGAGGCTAAACTATTTCTACTTTACCCTGTAGAGCCCACTGAGCTAATTCGCTCTTTTTCAGAAATGACCTGGCTCTCACAAATGATAGTTGAACGAAGTGATTAATCACATGGAAATTTATTGCAGCCAAATGCTTTAAAACACACCGTTTCTAAATGTGGAGGGAAAAAACCGGCAGACCCGGAGAAAAATCCACACGACCACGGGGAGAACATGAAAACTCTAAATATACAGCAGGTGTCAGGATCGGAAAAAAACCCACGACCTCCTGCATACCAGGCGAGGTAGTTAACATCTCGCCACCATGGACCCCACGGTGGCGAGATGTTAACTATGAAGGCCAGCACAGCGCACGAGGGGGTGGGTGGCCAGCACCACGCCCGGCCGCCTTTGTCTCCCCAGTGCCGATATTTAAACACCGCACCAGATTCTCATTTGAGGCTGAGTCGACCTAGGGGGAGGCCCAGCAATCATCGATGGTGTTGGCCGTGAGCGAGAATCGAACTCGGCTGGCCAGGTGCATAGCGTAGTGTGCTCACCGTTGCACTACGACACCCCCCATATACATACACACGCATACACACCCTCAACAGAGTATCAAATATCACTAAGTGTCTGAAATTCCCAAGTGCAAACAAACATTTGGCGTCAACAGCTGGGGGCATCCCTTCAGAGCACATCTCGGGGGCAGGGGGGGGGGGTCGCTGCGATTCTGCAGTGGGGCAGCTGCACAATTTGGTTGAGGGCAGAAGGTGACTCAGCCTCAAATGAATACCTGGTGCAATGTGTCAACATCGCCCACCAGGGATACAAAGGCGGTCGGGCGCGGTATTGGCCACCCACCCCCGCGTGTGCTGTACCGGCCTTCATAGGTGCTCGTTAACAGCACTTGCCCCAACAGTCTGGTAAGGGTATATGGGGGATCATTGTCTATTCGGGTGATATTTGGTGGTGGTGATGGTGGTAATAGCGAGGGGTGGCGGTAACAGTGAGGGGTGGTGGTGGTGGTGGAATCACTGGCTTTGCCGTCGGGGCCATCGCAATCTTGGGATTATTTACATTTATCCCAAGATGCAGCGGTGGCCGCCGGGTAAATATTTTGGCGGGGCACAAACCCACGGGCGGCGGGAATGGGGGAGGGTGATGAGGGAGGGGATTGGGAGCGGGTTTATGCAGTTTATGATCTACGTAACGACCAGGTAAGTATCGCTACGGGTGTCTTTTTTACTTCACAAGTAACTCCCGGACCCGCGAGCCCCAATGACGAGCCACCCACCGTCTGTGTGGACAAGGCCCTTGGGTGAAATTCCAACCGCAATGACGTGCCAAAAATCCTGTCTCTTCCCCCAGTACGGTGAGCTTTCAAGGGCGCTGCCTGCCTGACAATAGCATGTGGATGGAGAACGCCAAGCTCAAGGGATTGCAGATTTGTCATCCGCAGGTCAGCGAGCGAACGTGTGCGCGCTTTGCCGACAGCTTCGGCAACAACGAAAGCCCCCTTGCATGAGCGAGCGGCTGATGGCTCCCCTCTCGCCCCCCCCCCCCCCCCGCCACCCCCCGTGCCATCTCGCCAACAGGAACGGAACATCCACAACAAGATCTTCGGTGGATTCCTCATGAGGAAGGCGTTCGAGTTGGCGTGGGCCAATGCCTATGTGTTCTGGCAAGTGTCAGATACTCAACTCCTAACGTCACGACATTTTCATTGAAACGGTTACCTCACTGGGACTCGTCCGACGGGCTTGAGAGCGCGTTACTGTGCCGTGTGTCGCGTGACCAATAAGACGACTTATTTGTTCGGAACCCCGTGGTTGTGACGGTACACACGCAAGGCGATGGGGACGAGACAAACGATGCACATGGCGCGGAACAAACGAGATACGGGACAGCTGGAACTGACGTGAGACGAGAATGAGACTGACACGTCTGTATGTAAGTGTATGCATATATGTGTGTATGTTGAACCTCTTTCGCACTGAACGTAGACAACCGTGATAATAAGAGGTGTGGGGGAAGGACTACAAACTAAACACAGAAAGCCGTCCTAAAGAAATGCGTTTTCATTCTGGATTTAAAAGTGCATTGCTCCATTTTCTTCCTAATATCGGAAAAAAAGAGCGTTCCAGACGGCCGCAGAAGCGCATCTAAAACCACGCGATACGGTGACCGTCTTTGGCCAGCCAAAAGCCGCGGCGAGGATGACCGGGGTTCAAGTGATGGTTTATGCTCCTTAACGAGATCAGCGAGGTATTGTGATTCGTTTGTGGCAAGCACTCTGAGTGTAATGAGTGCGACATTATAATGTATCCGTTCGGCAACCGGAAGCTCATGCTGCTCAGCGAGCACTGGACGGACACGGTCGGATCTGGCAGCACCGTCGCGACACGCGCCAGAGAACTTTGTGCGTGCTGCAGCTTGCTAATGTTTGTGCCAGACGTTTCCCGTGAAGCGGACGTTTTATCTCCTTTGTTATTTATATTCACCACCACGACACTGACAGTTAGTTTGAGTTACGTGTTTTATGAATTTGCGTCGAACTGGGACCCCAAGTCGTCAAGAGATGCTCCTTGCTCATCAACATCTGACAGTTCAGCATTGACCTGAGCAAAGCTTTACTCTGCTGATGAGACACTGTACGTCGAAACCGCTCCAGAAGTGTTTGATTGTATTGAAACAATGTTGCTGAAATGATGCAATCCAAGAAGGCGGTGCAGAGCTAATGTGTGTTGTGTAAAAGATACTTTTATTTTTGTCTGGAGAGACGGTATAAATGAAGGAGACATATTAACATGTTTTATTATCTCTTGGGTTAGATCGTGGAGGTATCATGGCAATTGCTTAACTATAATAGTACGCGAGAGCTGAGCTGGCGTGAACACCTCATGATGCTAGATGTCATCTCCAGCGAAACATCATACAGAAAAATTGTCCAGTACTTTGCTCAGGCTTTTAAGCATTTCTCCTCCTCCTCCTCTGGTTTGGTGAGAAACCAAACCACCCGGCACATTCGCCCATCACGTGACAACTTGATTTGATTGGCTGTGTCATCGGGTGGTGGAGGGCCATAATAATACATTAAAAAAAAACATGACTTCATACCCACATGGCAACCCAGAAGAAAGCGATGACGACGCGTGAAGGAAACGCACTGCCCGCTTGTTTGATGATGACGCGGTGGCTAGGAGGTGGTCGTGGGTTCGATCCCGACCCTGGCGCCTGCTGTGTATTTCGAGTTTGCATGTCCTCTCCCCCAGTAGTCGCGTGGATTTTTCTCCTAGCCCTCAGGGTTTCCACTCCACATTTATAATCGACGTGCGTTTAGAATATTTGCCTGGTATACATTTCCACACGACGAGAAGCCACTTCGATTTATTAGCCAAGTCGGAGCTATACAGCTCAGTGGGCCTTTAGCTGGTAAAATAAAAACAAAAAAATCTCGGCTAATCGTGGCACGGCAGGGGTGTGACCCCGACGGATTCGATGCCAACGTTGCTCCCTCTGTCGCTGTCGCCCCGCAGCGGAGAGCGTGTCTACGTGGTGGCCGTGGATGACATCCTCTTCCAGAAGCCCGTTGAGATCGGTGCCCTACTCTATCTCAACTCTCAGGTACCCGCCGTTCTACTCTCCATCCTTGCGCATCACGAACGGATACACTTATAAGGTCGTCGCACTCAATACACACAAGGTGCTTGCCACAAATGAACCAGTTAGGGAGCCACCGGAGCTGTGCACTTTTAAATCTAGATTGAGAACTAACTTCTTTAGAACTGATTTTTGCGTTGGTTTGTTGTCCTTTCCCCCGCACCTCCGATTCGCGCGTTTGGCTATGTACGGTACGAATGAAATCCAACATACACACATACATACATCACCTACTCTATCCTTGTGCATCGTCTCTTCTCCACTGCCCATTCTCTTTCTCTTCCCTCCCCACGCCCCTCCACTCCGCCCCGTCCTACCCTCACCCTTGCTGACCGCCGCCGCACAGTACCCCTCTGTCGCGATCACTCATTCCTCAAACGTTGCATGCCCCTGCCATCTAAACAGTTCTGTTTTGTCACGTGTCATTAAACAATGTAAAGTGCCTTGAGTGAGGGCGCTCTATAAATACACAAGAAGATAATATGATGGTGGCGGCGGCAATGCGTTCAGGAACTGAATGCCAATGTCGAGGTCTGCTGCTGGACACGACGAGAGGACTTCAGCAGAGTTGGTGTCGTTTTGCTGTTGCTCCTCCGTTGAAGGAGCACAGACCACGGTGGGTTTGCTATGTGGTCCGTAGTTTGGGGTGCATGGCCACACTTGCGCTACTGTGGCTTGTCTTGTATGTATCTTTACGGGTCTCTATGTATCTATGAGTTATGTATCTCTGTGTGTCTCTACAATATGGGTAGGGAGCGTTAGTGTAGCGGTTGGCGCACTGCGCTACGAACCCAGCGACCCGAGTTCGATTCCCACTCACGGTCAACACCAGTGCCGATTAGCTTCATCGGTCCTGGGCCTCCCCTAGGCCGACTCGGCCTCAAGTGAGTACCTGGTGCGGTGTGTACAATTGCCACTGGGGAGACAAAGACGGCCGGGCGTGGTGCTGGCCACCCACCTCCTCGTGTGCCGTGCCGCCCTGCGTAGGTGCTTCTCGCTAACAGCACTTGCCCCAACAGTCCGTTAAGGCTATACGGGGGGGGGGGGGAACCTTTGTCTCTGTAGGTGTGCTACACAGAGGGCAATAACATCCAGGTGCGAGTGCAGAGCGAGGTGCACGTGCCACAGCTCAAGGAGCACTACACCACCAACGTCTTCCACTTCACCTTCATGGCCGACTCCGCCGTTCCGAAGGTGGCTCCCAAGTCGTACGGAGGTGAGGGGTCGCCGGGAAGGCGTTTGGCACGTGGCCACGTTCCGCCACGTGCCCAGGTTAACTGGCAGTAGCAGACACTCGAGGAGCCAAGCTCGCCTGTGTTTTTTTTTCTTGTTTGCTTTTTTATAATTGTTGTTAGCAGCTTTCTCTTTCACTTGGATTGTATCTCAACTTGTGGGTGTAGTTTTATTTTTACATTCAGTGCTTTGAGATACTTCAATATGATAGCGCGTCTTATAAAATATAGATGGTTACTTGCGTGTAGCGTCATCGTTCGTGCAAATTGCCTTCTCGCAATCGCTGAGGAACCGCAGGCGAGCTGGAAGGCAGCGGCCAGGCAATGAGTCGGCGCTACGAACAATTGCCAAAGCTCTGCATTCCTCTCTACAGTAAGATGCTTTCCACCGATTATTGAGTGTTTATGCATGTGGGTAGAAATCCGGAGCGCCCAGACAAAACCCACTTGTGAAAGGAGGCTAACACTGCGCCCTACAAAAGAGACAGATGATAATCTGCACTTTGCTGTACCGCCTTCTCCTGGCGAGCCAGAGTTATGGTTCCTCGGTGCCCACAGGAGGAAAGATTCACAACCATCTGTGTGCGATCTACCAACTATCGCTGCCTCCATGGCGCTGGATTGCAGGCCGTGTGCGTAGCCACCACTGCTGTTTCAGCACAAGCAATCCTTTCAACAACCACCATTTTATTTGGAGAAGCAGCTTGTGCCGGTTTGTGTGACTGCCTTGTAAAAATATGTGCGTGCACAATGTCACTAAATAAGTAGTTATTCGATCATTTCCACATACACCCTCGCATAAATCCCACGTTTGCAGGATTTTGAGTGTGGTGTGAAAGAAGTTCAACATACATACATACAAAGCCATCCAATACAGTCATGGTGATAGAAGTTGTCGAGTTATTGTGTCAGTTAACATCCACAACAACATTAAACAAAATAACTGTCACAAAGGCTGAAGGAGACACACTTTTATGTTGCGGTAAATATTGAGGTTCAGATTTTAGGACGAAATCAAACCATCGGATGAATGTGTGCTAAAGTAGCCATCGTGTCACATCACCAACTGCCAAAGCGTAAGTCATTTACATTTCTTTGTAATTCCGGCTAATATAATTAGGATATGAAATGCAACTTGTCCCTCATGGTTTAATTTACAGCTGTCTAAATTAGCTCAAGCCTCCAATAGACCACGTGACTTGTGTGTGTGGCCACCCCCACTCTGAACAACTCCCCTCTCCCCGCCCACTGTGAGGACAAACACCGCTCCTCTTCGTGGAGCAGCAGCGTCGAGGCCCTCATGTAGCCTCTTCCTCCTACCTCTCCTCATCTCTCCTGACCCTGTCCCCCCGTTCCTCCATTCCTTTACCATCCTATTCCTCTTATCCCCCATTTCTTCCCTTCTCTTTTTTCCCTTTCCTGGTCTTTCCCCCATCCTCGACTCTACTCCTCTTCCCGCTGTGCGCGCCAAGGGAATACAATGTTGCCGGTTCATTCACAGGGGCACTACTGTCGCGGTGTTTCGATGATGGTGGTGGTGTAACGCACACTCTTCCCTATTTTTAACATTTCAGAATCCATGCTGTACCTGGATGGCAAGCGGCACTTCCAGTCACCTGTGTGATGGACTCGCCGATACCCCGCGACTCAATGCAGAACTCTCACGGCAGATGACGCTGTGGCAGTTTCGGAGTTCACGCAGAAGGCGCCGTGCTTTCTCAGCGTTAAAAAAAATGCAAAAACAAAATGCCCTTCATTTCATTTATATGACAATGCATTACATTCTAGGGTTACATCCGTGTATCCTGCACATTTCCAAACTTTCTTTCAGAAAGAGTTGTGTTTGCTTTACGCATCGAAGAGAAGCTTTTATCCACAACGAATGTAAGGCTCAGTCTATTGTCAGGCATGAAAATCAATTACTTAATAATATTAAATATCGAAGTTGTAACGTGCAAACATTTCCCTGTCCACTTTGGCCGCCTGCTCTACGATTACAGCCCAGTGCCACCGTGGTCCACATCCCCATCTTAACAAACGAGGCCCAGGGTTATCGATAATCGCGTAGTGGGGGGAAGTTAAAACCCAATAAAAAAAATATCGGTTTACTAACCGGCGACAACCCACACTGACCAGCGCGGTGAAGTATGATCAAACAAGCCTCATGACCAACAGGGCGTGGGTGAGGCCTTCATCCAGCGGTGGACTGACTAGCGGCTGTACGTTCTATACGTTTAACTTTGTACGTAACGGGCGGTCACGTGACCACACTGGAACGGGCCGTGCCGTTTGGACGGCCGCTCGCTCCAATCGCTGTGATCTTCGATGTCGTTGAACTGGGATCTGATCGTTGATTCCACGACTCTCGAACCGATGATCAATTCCGTGATCAATTGCTGAAAAATTTGATGATCAATTTAACAACCCGTATTCCTATGGTGGGAAGCTCCACGTTATTTCAGCATCAGTGGTTTTATCTGTGGGGCAATCGCTGTTTGCTTTCTGCAAGACGGTACTAATTAATTTACCTTAGAGTGATCGAACTGCCAAGGTAATCCCCGACTGAGATTTGTGAGAAATGCACTCACCTATGACACACTATAATTACTAAACGGCCAGTATCACGCACATGAAGGCTACTGTTAGATTCTGAAAATTTGCACTTTACCCGGGTCAATTACTAGATCTTGGGGAGAGGAATGGATGCTTCACATTTACACATTTCAACCCACGGTCTCAACACATGGTGCTGATTGCTTCGCTGCGTTTGCCTTTATAAAGTCTGAAGCTATGTAATATGATCTGATCGTCAACATTTCGTGAGAGAAGATGGCTTAGTGCCATGAAAACTCACCAATAATATTTGGCGGTGATGCCGCTGTTGGAGGTGCTCAATCACAGACAACAACAACTCAACACGATTGTCACTCGCACTGTGAGTGGCCTTAAAAGGAAAACATGTATAAATATAATCAGTGGCTGTTCGGGCAATGGCCCTTAATCATCATACATAAATGTAAATGTGTGATTTAAAGCTTTCGTGACTGCAAGGATTCATCTTCTTTGGTTCTTTCGGTAAAGTCACGTAGAATGAGAATAAAATAAAACAATAAAATTCTCACGACGTTTCGGCCACAACACAAGCGGCCTTCAGGTGAAGGAACAAAAAACTGTCGGGATGACAGAGCTCCAATGAACGCTGCTAAGATTCGTAGCGTCTTTTAAGCTGGTTGAGAGAAGAGAGGCACCTTGACAAAGGGATTAACATATCAAACAGGAGAATTTATCATTGAAATAGCTGAGGGATTTAGCTTGTGACTGGTCACAGACTGGTCACAGACCAGTCACAAGCTTTAACATAGCTATTTCTTTGAAGAAGGGCCATTGTCTGAAACGTTGCCTCTTATATATTGTACTTTTAATTTTAAGGCCACGCAGTGTGACTGACGGAAGCGTTGGGTTTTACTGAAAGCTGATCGGGTTGCTTTGTCCAAGCCTGTACAGCAGCTGAATCGTGACGACGGAGGGTTAAGTAGTTGAACGTTATTGTACACAATGGTCTCGGTCTCAATTGGGGCGTGGTATTTTAATTGTTTTCTAGAAAGTCGGATGAATGCAAAATGCAAGCCGAGAAAATGTTTATTCACATTACAGATATGGCTCGTCTGTTACTTTCCTGCTACACAAGTGTTGAACAAAAGTATTTTAACGTATATTTTCAAACTTGCTTGACATGTTTATTTAATAGCACGATGCGAGTTTTACTGCTTGAGAACAAATTTGCTTGGGAGATCTTGCATCCACATTTATTCACGCGCTGCGTATGACCAAACACCCCCTCCCCCTTGCGCGCTTGATTCCCATCGCTCCTCGGAAGCTAAGGGATGAACAGGTTTTTAGCCTGGTGAAGCGCTTGGATGGGCGACCACCACGTGCACACTGTCACATCTGTAAGGCGCCAATGCGGACACTCAGGGGCAGTGCAGTAGCTATATTCGCTCTTGTTTTGCACTTCACCCCACATTCACCAACTCGAACTGACCAGCGTCGTTGTGAAGTTAAATATCATTCACTGCTTGCACATACGTGGTGAGGCCCTCATCCAGCAGTTGATTAACAAAGGGGCCGTACATATGCATACAGTCGCCATGCGTGCTCTGACCGCCTCCAGTATATTATCCGGGTGTCTGTTGAAACGCGTCTCTAGTGTGCTGAATGAGTTCTGCGCAGGCTCGGCAAACACTAAGACCAGGGTTCAGGTGGGTGTCCTCACGTTTCACAACGTTTGAGAACGGTTGATGTAGATTTCTGGGTGGCCTGGGTTTTGTTGTTGGGTTCAACGTTCCATTAAACTTCACAAAATGTTTGTGTGTGATGTGTATTCTTAAGTTATAATGTGAGCGTTTGAAATGTTTTTGGTAATCTTTGAATTTGCCAGTTGTAAACCTATGGTTTCTGAATACAAATGCATATTGAAATTGAATACAAATTCAGAAACGAGTACGTCTCACAGGCCAGTAGTCGCAACATTTACAATTGCAGAGCATTAAAGATCAAGATGTTACCGTGGCCAGAGCTGGAGATGTCATCGCCGCACTTGGCCAGCACTTTCTGACCTCCACCAGGTCCTGCAGCTTATGCACAAGAGGGGGGAAGAGAGGGATTAGCGAGACGGAGGCAGCAGAAGTGAGCTGTGGAGAGGAGCGGCGTGGAGAGGAGAGGGCTTCAGACTGGGGACGACCATAGGGGAGTCGCGTGATTGACGGGAGGCTTGAGCCGAAATGAACTTTCCACATTGCTAAGGAACTGCATTGGAAGTGAACGCGTGTTTTTTTCTTCTAGTGATAGCAAGTACATATTTTAAGATGTTCATCTCACAAAACATGTTTGATTATTGTTTTATTATTCTTGCTGCACAGAGGCCCAAAGGCCCCCAAAAACGCCAAGCAACCAGCAACAAACAGCACGACTGTTTTTAAAGTTGCAATCGATGAGTGTACCACGTTTCTTGAATTGAGCAAGGATTCAAGAGCTTGGTGAAGAGAGGCGATGGGAGGGGATTCCAAAGTGGATCAGTGCGAGGGAAAAGACAGAAAGAGAAGCGTTTGTACCTGCAGTGACACTGGTGGCGAGTGGGTGTTGTGCCCTGCAGCGCCGTAGATGGGTAGGCGGCTGAGTGGATGCGTGAGGTCGTCACATCTATCATATTTAAGGAACGAAACAGGAGGATTTATCCACAAATCTGGCTGTCGCCTGATGAAGCTAGTTGTAATTACTGGCGAAACGTCGTACTCGGGTTGTCAATGTTGTGGATTTGCTCTCCAACACACCGATGTGCTGTACTAGTAACGAATTTGCATGTTCTGTTCATGTAACAAAACTTGCTCATTTGTTGTGGCGGGTTTAACGACGCATTTATATCTGTATCATATAATACAGGTATTTTGGATAAGAGGTCGTCCATAAATGACGTCACGCGATTTGTCAATGTGGATTTGCTCTCCAACACACCGGTGTGCTGTACTAGTAACGAATTGGCACGTTCTGTTTACGTGACAAACCTTACTAAATTGGCTGTCGGGTGGTGGCGGGTTTAACAACACATTAATATTTACACGATCTAACCCAAAAAAACCCTCTTGTGTATTGCTACTTGTTGGACCAGGGGTCGGCAGTCTGCGTCTTCACACGCATTGCAGCTCTTTTAATAACGAGTTTTTTTTTGTTTAACCGAACTCGAAAACGAACGTCTCCTGTTGTTATCTTGGTTTCCGACCCGTCTCGTATGACTCTCCGTGCGTCACAGCACAGACACACTGCGCTCTCAGCATCATTATAACAGGACGGGACGGGGAGTCGGTGTCGTCTGCTCTCTCACTCTCTCTCACTCTCTCTCCCGGCTCTCTCTCTCTCTCACTCCCTCTCCCCCGGCTCTCTCAACATGCACGGAACGACGAGTAGCCAAGAATGAAGACCGCACAGCTTCTGGGGCAGTGGAGAGTGCACGGGAGCGCTCCGAGCCCGCCCCACCGACCCAAGTTCGATTCCCGCTCTCGCTGACCGATGTAATTATTACAAGCGGCGAATATCAGAACCGGTCCTGGGACTCCTTTAGGGGTCCGCTTCAGTTTCTGGGGGCCGTGTGTACAAAAAAAAGCCATCGGCACTGGGGAGACAAAGGCGGCCGTGCGTTGTTGCTGGGCCACCCCACCCCCTCGTGCGGCTCCGCGTCGACCTTCACAAAGGGTGCTCGCTAACAGCACTTGCCCCAGCAGTCCTTTGCGGGCTATACGGGGCGGGGATCTTTGTCTTTGTTACAAAGTGACAGCTGCTGCGGCTCGCCTGCAACACGAGCTACAGGGCTGGGTTCACGCCGCGTCCGGCAAAAATCGCAGCGGCCAAAAATAGATCAACAAAGTTCCCTCCTCTACACCCCGCGGCAGACGACAACAGCAGCAGCAAGAGCAGCGGCAACAGCAGGCTCGCCATAGCGTACACCCCCCTCCCCACCCCCCCCATCACGAGCGCGAGCTCCGACGAGAGGCCCACGAAACACCAAACACGACGCAGCTATGGCCACCAGCCAGCGAGCGTGGGCCCTCCTCGTCGTCTTCACGTCGCTTCAAGGTGCCGTGCGTCCCCCGGGGCTCTGTGAGCCACCCCCGACACGGCGTGGATGAGTCGAGTCCGAGACACGGCCGGGGGGGGGGGGGGACTGCTTCGTCTCTCGCTCCCTCGAGTGTGACCCTTGAGCCAGGTTTGGCCGGGCTTGTGGACATTCTGTATAATTGAGTTGTTGCTGCTGCTGTTGTTTTTTATTATTCCCTATGCTTGTTCAAAAACCGACGACATTTAACACGCGCGCGGGGGTGTCACGTTCATCTGCTGGACACTACAGCAGTCGAATCCAGGCCCGTACGTGTTCAATGCATTTAGATATTGGCCAGTTTAGAATAAAAAGATAGCCCTGTACAAGCATCACTGTCATCTACGCCACTGCGCGTTGAACTCCTTTCGCACGGTTGCGTAGCCAACCGCGCGAATCGGAGTTGCGGGGGAGAGATCGCACCAACTTGGCTCGGGTACCTCTCGCTCACCGATCTTAGCCGCGGGCGGTAATGAAACTCACGTGGCCGGTTTCGTATCGTCACCGAGTACCCCCGGAGCCGCGAGGTACCCCCGGAGCGCGTTGAGGAGAGTAGCGTCTCGCAGGGTAGGGCCAGCCCAGCGCGTTCGTCTCCCTGCTGCACTCGGGCACGCCGCCACACGCATCCATGCCGTGACCCCTCGCCTCTAATGTGCGTACTCTGTATGCACAGCAATATATAGCCCCGTGCATTTATTGGCACTCGAAATGTATTGCTACAGAAGGCCGCCTCCGCTGCCGCTGCTGCATCTCAGCGGGACTACAAAGAGTGACCAACGAAGAAGTAAGATAACGTTTGCAGGTAGAAGAAGGCAACCGGGTGATGATGCAGGCAGTGATGAGGAGGAAACCGGCGCTATGTGGACACCCACACGTAGGATGGAGAAAAATAGGAACATTAAGAGTGTTGTTGTTCGGAGAAATGGAAGGAACCGGAAAGAGAGGAAGACCTCAGGGCGAACTACCTTGACGGGGACACGAAGAGATTGGTGCCAGAAAGATGTGGCTACTACTTGAGCCAGCTTGACGCTAAATTTCGATTTAAAGCTTTCGTGACTGCAAGGATTCATCTTCTTTGGTTCTTTCGGTAAAGTCACGTAGAATGAGGATAAAATAATAAAATAACACAATAAAATTGTCACGACGTTTCGGCCACAACGCAAGCGGCCGTCTTCAGGTGTCTGTCGTCCCGACAGGTCTGTTCCTTTCACCTGAAGACGGCCGCTTGCGTTGTGGCCGAAACGTCGTGAGAATTGTATTGTGTTATTTTATTATTTTATTCTCATTCTACGTGACTTTACCGAAAGAACCAAAGAAGACAGCTTGACGCTACAAGACCGAGAGGAAAGTGGCAACAAATGACAAAGTGTGCAGTGGACGCATAAGGGCTACCTGCCCCGTGGATCGTGATGATGACGATGCATAACCATTGGAAGTTATAATTACTACTACTACTACCACCAGTTTCGACGTTCAGTGTCTCATTAGCATGGCAACTGCTTGTCGGCCAAGAGCCCTCTGAACAAGTGTTGCTCTGCAGGCGTGCACGGCCTGGAGGCGGAGGAGAATCTGCTCAAGGACCTCTTCGTGGTGCAGCAGTACAAGACCCTGGTGCGTCCTGCACGGACCGCCACGGGCCGCGTCACCGTGCGCCTCGGTATGACGCTCTCACAGCTCATCAGCCTGGTATGATGCTCTCACAGCTCATCAGCCTGGTATGACGCTCTCACAGCTCATCAGCCTGGTATGACGCTCTCACGGCTCGTCAGCCTGGTATGACGCTCTCACGGCTCGTCAGCCTGGTATGACGCTCTCACGGCTCGTCAGCCTGGTATGACGCTCTCACAGCTCATTATCCTGGTATGACGCTCTCACAGCTCGTCAGCCTGGTATGACGCTCTCACGGCTCGTCAGCCTGGTATGATGCTCTCACAGCTCATTAGCCTGGTATGACGCTCTCACGGCTCATCAACCTGGTATGACGCTCTCACAGCTTATCAGCCTGGTATGACGCTCTCACAGCTTGTCAGCCTGGTATGACGCTCTCACGGCTCATCAGCCTGGTATGACGCTCTCACGGATCATCAACCTGGTATGACGCTCTCACAGCTCATTAGCCTGGTATGACGCTCTCACAGCTCATCAGCCTGGTATGACACTCTCACAGCTCATCAGCTTGGTATGACGCTCTCACGGCTCATCAGCCTGGTATGACGCTCTCACGGCTCATCAACCTGGTATGACGCTCTCACAGCTTATCAGCCTGGTATGACGCTCTCACAGCTCATCCGCCTGGTATGACACTCGTACGGCTTATCAGCCTGGTATGACGCTCTCACAGCTCATCAGCCTGGTATGACGCTCATACGGCTTAGCCTGGTATGACGCTCTCACAGCTCATTAGCCTGGTATGACGCTCGTACGGCTCATCGGCTTGGTATGACGCACTTACAGCTCACCAGCCTGGTATGACGCTCTCACAGCTCATCAGCCTGGTATGACGGATATATTTGTGTTAGTCATAGAGTTGCCACCTCATGAGACCCAAACATCATCGCACCTCCTGGCTTTCACATTCCTCCTCCTGGAAGACACCGGTGGTGGAACCATCAACCGCATCAGAACATCCCCTGTTGATGTACACATCTCCATATGTGAAAAATTAAATCCACAGGTAGTGCGATTGTGGCTATGCAACCAATCCCCGCACCTCTGATGA